TGAGTCAAGAGTCAAGGACTCTAACAAAGTCTGCTTCTGTTTATATTATTGGTGTGCCTTGGTTGTTTTTCTTCTTGGGTGTGTAAAGCTGGTTGGTCTAGGTTTCAGGTTCTCTCAGATTTTATATTACTGATGGCTATCTCCATACTCGTGCATTTGTTCTCCAGAAGAGACCCACTGAGTCAAGGACTCTAACAAAGTCTGCTTCTGTTTATATTATTGGTGTGCCTTGGTTGTTTTTCTTCTTGGGTGTGTAAAGCTGGTTGGTCTAGGTTTCAGGTTCTCTCAGATTTTATATTGGAGGGAACTGATGGCTTCAGATCAGCTACTCAGGAGCTCCCACAGAGGTCCAAGTCAGGCTCCAGTCAGGTACACTCAGGCTTCCTTCTAACGTGTCTGGACCCATACTAGTGGACACTCACAGCCCAACTTGGGAAGTTCACTAAGGGGAGCCCTGGTTTTTGCACTCTCAGGCTGTCTGCTAAGGTCTCAGCCCCTACTGCAGGGCAGAGAAGTCTATCCCTGGCAAAGAGGGAGGGGTTTCACATGGTCCCAATTAGGGGGTTGGGCATGGCATGATTTGGGGAAGCTCACCACCACATGGAGGCCGGATCCAGGCACTCTCAGGTGGTCTTCTAAGGCCTCCCACGCTCTTTTTAAAAAATATATTATTATTTTTATTTTATGTGTGAGTATATTGCCTGCATGTGTGTAAGTGCACTCATATTGTCCAATGCCTGCAGAGGTCAGAAAAAGGTGTCAGATCCTCTGGAACTGGAGTTATAGATGGTTGTACAGATAGTTGTTGACCATTATGTGGGCACTTGGTGTTAGATTTAGGAGAGCAGAAAAAGGGAGGAGTTTAACATTAAGAACACAAGAAGCAGAGCCAGACCTGCAACAGGCAAGGAATGTGTCCTCTTTAATTCAGGAGAACATAGCAAAGGGCCGGTGTCTTTTCCATGGATACAGACATCAGCACACATTAGCAGAGCAATCTGGTCTTACATATGAACTCTGCCGAAAGCAGCTGTAGGTATTTGCTAGGTGTCAGGTGTCAGGAGTCAGTGACCTTGGGGTACTGGAGGTTGACTCTGCAAACAGTCTCTGTAGTGATCAGTTGATAAGGCCAGGGTGTCAGAGCAGGCTATGGCACAGCAGGAGTTAAATGGCCCTGTAACCAGTCTTTGTCAGCCAGGGAAGTGACCAGTTGATAAGGTCTGATCAAAGGCCAAGCTGCCAATTTGGGCCATTTGGCTACCTAGAGGAATGTATGAAAGGAAGTTTATGACTCTCTTGGAATTTACACATTCTATCACTGGGAATCAAACCAGGATCCTCTGCAAGAGCAGTCAGTGCTCTTAACCACTGAGCCATCTTTCTAGCCCCTCACATTCTACTTCCTCTTCCACCATGTTCCTTGGGCCTTGGGGTGGGAAGGTAGTGTGTGATATAGTGTCCTGTTGAAAGCTGAATACTCAATAGTCACTTGTTCTCAGCACCTTGACCAGCCATGAATCTCTGCCTTAGTTGTCATTTGCTGCAAAGAGAAGCCTCTTCAATCAAGGCTGGGGACAGCATTGGCCTATGGGTAAAAGCATAAATACTTAGGAGGCAGGTTAACAATATGTCCAATTAGCAAGACGAAAGTAGTAGGTTTGCTGCTGGTGCTTATTTTTTAAAAACTAATTTCTATTGAGTCTTAGTTAATCTTGGTGTATTGCTCTCCCACATCAAACATCTTTGTTTGTACATTATAATGAGATCATATTCCTTTCTTTAGTGTACTACTCTCTGAGGCAGGTAGAAATGTAGGAGAAAATTCAAGGACACAAGGAAAGAGAGAGGTCTCACCCAGGAATCAGGTTCACATCTTTGCAGGCAGCAGAACAAGAATTCCAGGACAGTTAACAATTGCTCTCTTTCTTCCCTCCCATAAACTTGCAGTTTTCTAGGAATGGTATCAGAAAACCCATTTACAGTAAAGGAATGTATGTACTTAAACCACTTGTACAACTTATCCCATAATTTCATCCAAGACAAATCTCCAGAGTCACCTCTCATATCTCCCTTATCAAGACAGAAAAAGTTTAACAACCTTTTGAGATGTAACTTGAGCCACCAAAATGGTGTATGTGGCTAATACCAAGACAATTAATTGGGACTTTCCTTTGAGGAGCCTGTACCCACACTTCAGTTTATCTTACTTTCTGCCACTCTTTGAGAAGCTCACACTCATAATCTGGGTGTGTCCTTTTTTTCTGAGTGCCTCTCTCTTAATACTAGTGTGTAAGCCTATATGAAAATATCTTTGATGAAGTTCAAACTCTGCTTCACTATACTGGTTGGTTCTGAAATTCTTTTCAGCGTTGAAGCAAAGACTCCCTATTTGACTCCTTAGGCTACTGAGGGTGGCAGTGTGTTCCTTTTTTAAAAATGTTTTTCTTTTTTCCTCCAAAGGCATAAGCTGTCTGGTTTTACTCATCACCTTATATAGTAGGCACATTCTTTCACTGCACAAATAAAATGACTTGCATTTTCTTCCTAGCTCTTCACGCAGAGGCTTTAAGGTAGACAAAGCACTTGAATTCCAAAAGAATAAATGATTCTACGAAAACGGTATCTATTTAAATTCGTTCCTTGAGTAACTGTCATTTACCCTATAATTATTAGGCAATGGAGACATACTATGCATCAGACAAGCTTCTGCCGATGCTGAGTTTGCGTGGGGTGGGGGGTGGCGGACGTGGGACGTGAGTAAATGTATATGCTATACTGCCTGTATTTAAGCACAAGTCTCCCCTACTTCGTGGGAAAAAAAAAGAAAGAAAGAAAGAAAAAGGAGAAATTACATCCTGAACAACACAGATGGAATTGCTGGTGTGTGAGAATGGAAAAACAAAACAAACAAACAAACAAAAAAACAGCTTGGAAACAGGAGCTGAGAGTGTGAGCTCCTGCATGATGAAAACCAGAAAGCCAAGGTTTTAGCAATGGCCATGGTAAAAGATAACAGAACTCCTTCCGGTCCTTTAACGACAAATCACACACTAGGAAGCTACCACAGCAGCTGCCTTCTGCATACTTCTTATTCTTCCCCACTACTCTCTCGTGACAAGTCTGTTGTACTTGACCACCTAGGCCAAAAGATTTGAACACTACCGTCAGCCGCCCAAATAAGGACCCACAGCTTCGACTCCCAAGACTAGCGGCGTAGGGTCTCTAAAACCGTCGTTTGTAAATCATAACTCAGGTTCTCTTCCTTGGCTTCCGTACAATGGTGTTAGGGGCCTTCAGCTTCAGCCGAGGGCAGAAAAGGGCAATTAGATGTCTATTTGAATTCCAGAACTATATCGCCTGAAGAGCAAAATAGCTGTATTCAGATACAGTTAAACATTTTCCTCCAAAGAATATGGAAAGGGGCAAATGGAACTCATGCTCTTTTCACATTTCTTAGGTTTTACACTCGGCACCCTTCGAGGGTCGCTGTCCGCCCGAACCTTTCAGACAGGCGGCTCCCGGCCACCCTCGGGGGGGGGTCCTCATTTTGAAAACAGGAGCGGGCCAATCGGATGGCGAGCGCTGTTTGGCGCCGCCATTCGAGCCTAGAGCGCTGGGGCGGAAATATGAGCCGAACCGCTGGGCTTTAGCGGGCCGAACGTGCAGGCCCGACGCGGTCGGCAGGCTGATGGAGAAGAGGACAGGCAGCCTGTGAGACCGGGTGACGGCGGGACCAGCCCGGCGGGCACCGGGACTGGGAGAGGCTCTGCGCCGCCGGCTGGTCCGGCCGCGAGGCTGGGCAGGGAGAACGGAGCCGGCGTTGGAGGGCCAGGGGAAGGGGCCTCTCCATCCGAGAGAGCCGGGGGCGAAGAGGGTCGGGGGAAGGGGCCGGAAACCGGGAGAAGCTAGCAATAGGCGCTGAGACCAGGAAACGGAAGAATCAGAGGAAAAAGGGAGGTCTGTGTAAGTAGCTGACAGGGTGGGGTGACCGAGAAGGAAGGTCGGTGGAAGTGGAAGGAGAGTGAAGTGTGGCCGGATCCAAGGGCCGAGAGAAGAGAGTCTGTGGAAGTGGGTAGACGGGAGAAGGAAAGCCGTGGAAGTGGCCGGGGTCCGGGGCCAGGGCAGTGCCAGACGTGGCCGGAAAGCAGTGGAGCGGAGCTCAAACCTGAGAGTGTTTGGAAATTGGAAGACTTGGTGGCGAACGAAAGTCAGAAACCGGAGTCGGCCTCGGAGAGTAGGCGACGTGGCCGGGATGTGGGATCGGAGGCTGGTCAGACTGGCCTTGCTGCAGCAGCTTCGGACTGTCTATGGCATTAAGGTCAAGTGTGGCCGCGGACAGTGCGAACGCAGGAGACGAGAGACGCCAGCCTCGGAAGTACGGGTGAGTCACGGGAAATGAGATTTAGGTTATAAGAAGTGTAGGAAGAGGGGCAAACCCAGTTCACTCCGTGAGAGTGAAAAGACACGTGCTTGGGTGTGTCTAAATTCAATCCCTGTGATCTCTTGTCGATCTTTAAAGGGTAATACTCTTTTTTTCTCCCCAGAAACTTGTTAGTTGAAAAATGCGTGCTTTCCCAACAGCAGCACTATTGGAGTTTTGGGTTAAATCATTGCTTGTTAGGAGACGGGGAGTCGTGTGAATTGTACAATGTTTAGCAGCATCTCTGCCTACTGCGCACTGGATACCAGCTTTCGGTTATGACCAGATTGTTCCCGGGTATTGCTTATTTATTTCTGCGGTGCTTGGAATGGGATCCGGGCCTCCTACTTCCAACATCTATATCCCCAGCTGCTAATTTATTGTATTTTGAATCAGCAGTATGTGGGGCGGAGGGCAAACCACCTTCCCTACCAGGTTGCAGAGAAGGGGGAGTAAGTGCAGTCAGTGGTTGAGGAAGAGTGACAGGGATTAGAAATAGGTTTCATGAGATCTGTCTGTATTCAGCAACTTACCAGAACAGGCCTGCTGCCTGCCATGTCACACTTTGGTGCCTCTCCTCTCTAGCAGTGTGTGCTAGAGGAACACTTTTATTAGTGACTATCAATCCTATGCTCAGACAAACCTGGTTTATTGTTGTTTTTAAAATTTTTGTTCCTAGTGAACAAATTGAGTGAAATGATTGAAAAGCTTTTTTTTTTTTTAAAGTATTAATTTGTTACCAAGTTCACATTCTGCTAAAGATTCACAGTCACTTAAATCCCATTTTGTGTGAGGTCAAGAGTAGGTTTTCTCCTTCCACCATGTGGGTCCTGGGGGTGGAACTCATTTCCTCAGGCTTGGCAGCAAGCATCTCCACCCTCTTAAGCCATCATACTCTCCCACAAAGCCAATTTTGATTTAGTGGTTAAAGGAACCTTGAGTGAGATTTTAGTCTCTGTCAAGTAATTGAGACTTTCATTGTGAAATACAGAATTGAATATATCTCCTTATTTTAAATGTATATAGGTAATTTATTAGCCACTTGTAAGTACTTTGAGGTTAAAGACTAATAAAATCAATTTTAATAGTTTCTGTTTGGTGCAGTGTTTTGTAGCCCAGATTGACTTTGAACTCCCTTTGTACCTGAGGATGTCTTGTTCTAATCCTGCCTCCACCTTCCGAGGGCTGGGATCACAAGGATTGTGCCACCACACCCACCCAATATGTTTATTTATATTTAAAAATTACTGTGCTTCTGTTTTTAAAACTGGCCTTTCATGATCTCAAATACAACTTTTTTTTTTTTTTGTCTTTTTGAAGCAGGGTCTCCCTGTAAGCCCCCAGCTGTCCTGGAACTCACTATGTAGACCAGGCTGGCCTTGAACTCACAGAGATCCACCTTCCTCTGCCTCCCAAGTGCTGGACTACAGGGCATGCACCACCACGCCCAGCTGCTTTCATTCCTTTTTTTTTTAAAAAAAACAAAACAAAAACCTAACGCTTGTCATTAGAGACAGACATACCACATACCTGCATTTGAGTTCTGCTTCATACTTAATTTATGGGCATGGGGTCCTTGTTTATTTTCATTGAGCTTCAGTTTCTTATTCTATAAGGTGGCAATTATGGTATTTCTTCTTGGATTATATAGGGAAATGGGGAGGGACAGTGAGGTCCTAGGTAGGCCTAGCACAGTGCCTGTCACGTGCCACTTATTCAAATAGAAAAATTATCTGTATCCTGATTGATGGTGGTATTGTATAAGTTCAGCTAAAAATGCTAGAAAAGTATTCTAATAAAATATATGATCATTCTGTAGTAAGTGTATAAGCTAACTGGGTAGGTAAATCAAAATGGTTTCTCTGGCTCTGGTGGTGATTAGTCTTTCTTCACCTTTTAAAGAAAAGTGATGGAGGCCCTTGGAGAGTTGGCTCAGCACTGGCTTCTCTTGCAGAGGACCTGGGTTCAAGTCCCATCATCCACATGGCAGCTAACAACTGTCTGTAACTGCAGTTCCAGGGAATCCGATGTCCTCTTCTGACCTCCCAGGGCATTGCATTCACACATGCAGGCAATACACTCATACAAAATAAAAAATAAAAAACAAGAAATAAAAAATAAAAAAACGAAAAAAAAAAGTGATGGGACTCTTTTTAAAAATAATACTGTTAGTGCTTTACTACATAAAAACTTTTAAAACATACTATTTTTGAGATTAAATTGTATAAGTTATTTGTAGAGCTAGTTATTAAAAACAATGACACATAGGGAACTAGCTAAATTCAAGCTGTGTTAGTTGTAGACGAACATCCATTCTGGCATATCCATTTTGTATTTTGTTGCACTGTATCAGGAAAATTTTAATTTATCCAAATATAGGGGCTGCCCATACTAATATTAAAATAGTTTATCTTGAAATGATAGGTATAACAGAGACATTTTTTGAATTCCTGATTCTGTCAGACATTGGTGTGTGCTTTACACATTTTAATTCATTTGATTCTGTAGTTCTGTGACACAAGGTATGTGTGTGCATACGAGAGACAGAGAATGTTATTACTTGAGTAAGGCTTCTTAGCTAAAAAGTAGGAAAGCCAAGATTATTAAACTAGCATTCTTGCCTCTGGAGCCTGACTTCTTATTGTGCTATGCTGGACTATATATATATATATATATATATATTTTCAGTTTGGAATATTTATCAAACAAATACTTGAAGCAGGACTAGTAAACATTTCATTACTGATCCAAGTTTGGTTTAGGAATTTCCTTATTGGGGCTGGAGAGATGGCTCAGCTGCTCCGAGCACTTGCTCCTCTCGCAGGGGACCTGGGTTTGGTTCTTAGTGTCTGATCAGGCTGCTCAAAACCACCTGTAACTCCAGTTCCAGGGATTCCAGTACCCCCGTCTGACCTCTGGGCACCTGTACACACATGGTGTACAAACATGCAGGCACATGCACATAAAACAAAAAAAAATCTTTTAAAAAAGAATGTTTTTATTAGGCATTAACTCTATCAGTTTCCCGTAATCAGGTTGGAGACTGGCTGAATTCATTAGATTATTTGAGGGCAGTGACTTTATGTTGGCTGTTTGTACTATCAGCATCCAGCATAAATGTCTAGTAATAGCAGTTACTTGTTAGTAAATGGACTTGAAATAGTTGTTTTAGAGTTTATTTCTGATATCTTTATTCTTAACATTTTTTAATTTGCCTATTTAATAAAATTTATTTATTGTGCTAAGTAGCTGATTTGTCATTTTAGGGTAAAATATTTGGAGTCCCTTTTAATGCATTGCCCCATTCTGTTGTACCCGAATATGGACATATACCAAGGTAAGCAGAGCTTGAATGAGTAAACATTTCAAATTGGTTTTAAAGGTTTTAAAAATAGTAGCTTGATGCATGCATTTGTTTTAAACTAGCAGATTATTTCATCTCTCAGCATTAGATCCAGCTGTTCAGGCTTGGCAACCTGAGTTAGATCCCCTCAATCCATGTATTCGCCATGAAATTGTCTTCTGACCTCCACATGTGAGCTGTGTTATATGTGCCTGCACACATGCATCCAAAAGTGTTGTATCAAACACCTCGCTGCGCTGGTACAATTTAGGTGTAGATGTACAGTTTTTCTAAGGCTGCCACTTTTTAACAATTAGAAGTGCAGACAGGCCCAGGAATAATGTCTGAAACTTTGTTGCATACAAGAAAACAAAAAACAGCTGTAAGTTACCTCAGCAAGTGTGGTTTCCATTTAGCCTCTATGCACTAATATTGCTGTATTATTTTGTTTATGACTGGTGTACATTCTAATTTTCAATGTCAGCTGTTGGGTAAGTATCTAAAGCTAACATTGGTTGGGAATATTCAGTCACCCCTTAAAATGACACTGATTGTAAGGAGTGGGATGGATCCCACTTACTTTGCAAGGAAAAATGTTGGGATGAGAAAAATTTCACTTTATTTTTTCTGGAAATGTAGTAGATGGTAGATATTTAAAGCTATGCATGCTATACAAGGCCACCCCTGAGGAGACTGGATAAGGAAGGCCTTGGGCCAGCTGAACATGCTGGTACATACCTATAGTTCCAACACTTGAGAGGTGGAGATGGAGGTTGGGAGCTCAAGGTTAACTTAGACTACATAGCAAATTTGAGGCCAGTCGGGCTACATGAAACTCTTGTCTTCAAGAAACACTTTGAACAGAGTCCATTCCACTAGGTAGACACCAAATAGAAGAGGAGGAAACAGGAGATTGAGAAAAAGCAGTTTGGGGAAGTAGCAGGAAAACCAGGGGACAGTGAAAAGCCATTGTGAGCAGGGGAGTGGTCCGATGTGTCACATGCCGATGGGTCAAGCAATATGAGGACAGTTAAATCAAGCATGTATCTGGAAAGGCTATGACATTGGTGATGTTTCTGAGGGTTGAAGAGAGGAGGGGGGATGTGATGAAATGGAGATGAAAAGCAAAGCAGATCTTGTGAAGTGAAGTAGGAAAGCATGTAGAATTGAGTAGGCATCGAAACTGGCATGAGTAAAGATGTGGAGAAAAAGCTAGGAAACGACAGCTAAAAACAGTCCTTTGTCACAAGCATTAAGGGGGTTTGTGGCATTAGAGTGGAAAGGGCCGTAGTGGCTGGCCTGCTCAGGTAGAATAGTGTTGGTGAGGTGTATATCTGGCCACTTACAAAGTTTCTCTTTCAGCTTTCTTGTTGATGCTTGCGTGTCTTTGGAAGAGCATATTCATACAGAAGGGCTTTTCAGGAAATCAGGGTCTGTCATTCGCCTAAAGGCACTAAAGGTAAGCATGTTCCCAAACTATGATTTTTCTTTTGTACCATTTTCTGATTTGGTTTTTATGGTTGAAATATTTTCCTAAAGAACTTATATATCATTTATATAGTGCTTTAAAAAGAGTGCTTTTGAATTTGTGGTCTTCGTTCATATAAAATACTTTATGAAATGAAAATAACAGTTTTATTACTTTTAGCCTTCTAGAAAGAAGTAATGTTTTTTGTTTTGTTTTGTTTTTGGTCTTATTGAGACAGGGTCTCTTTATAGCCCCAGCTGGCCTGGATTTGCTATGGAGATCAGGATGGCCTTGAATTCACAGATAACTGCCTACCTACCTCTGCCTCCCAAGTGCTAGGATTAAAGGAGTGGGCCACCACACCCAGCTAAAGAGGTTCTCTTACCTCTTGTTTTAAAACATTCCTAGCCAGGCATGGTGGTGCATGCCTTTGATCCCAATACCAGGCAAATCTCTGTGAGTTCGAGGCCAGTCTGTTCTCCACAGCGAGTTCCACAGCAGCTGGGGCTACAGGGAGACCCCCCCCCCCCAAAAAAAAGAGAACATCTTTAATTACTGTTTAATAAACTTAAGTTTCCAAAGTGCTCATGATTATTGTATTTATTTCAGAGGAAACTGGATCATGGCGAAGGTTGCCTGTCTTCTGCACTTCCTTGTGATATTGCAGGACTTCTTAAGCAGTTCTTTAGAGAACTGCCGGAGCCTATTCTCCCAGCAGATTTGCATGAAGCACTTTTCAAAGCTCAACAGTTGGGAACAGAGGAGAAAAGTAAAGCTACATTGTTACTCTCCTGTCTCATGGCAGATCATACAGTTGATATATTAAGATACTTCTTTAACTTTCTTAGGAGTGTTTCTCTTAGGTAAGTGGTCATTAAAAAGCCTTAAAAGAATTTAATTTCTCAGCTACCTAAAGAGGTACCCTATAGTTAATAAATTTTATTTGGAATGGAAGTTTTTCTATTAAGTACTTCCTTATTATAGGAAGTATACCTTGTATAATCTAAGAACTAATAAACCAAATGACTTACTATTTTCTTGCATCCTTGGAAGCTTGATGAATGTCTTACTGGCTTAATGGTCTTCACAAGATTCATTGTCCACTGGATAGATTCTGATTACTTGCTTTTAAAATGTTTGTGTTGTGTTTCTTAAATTTTCCTCTCTCTCTTGTTAGTGAGTCAGTTGTTTTACGCAGAATTGATGCCTTCTAAAACTTCCAGTTTTCTGTGTGACTTTAGAAGTCAGATAAACAAGGCTAACTTGTGTGAAAGAGCAAAATGTGAAAAGATTAGTATGGTCTTGATGATTAGTATTTTCATATAGAGAGGCCATGTATTTTGGGTTAATTGTCTTTTTTTTTGTACTGTTTTGTAGTGTTAAGGTTCAGACTCTGCATAGTAGGCAAGCTTTATCACTAAGCTACTGCCCGGTGCTTGCCCCTTCCTTTCCTTTCTTTCCTTCCAATCCCCTTTCCTTTCTTTCCGGCCAATTACGTAGATTGATAGATGTGGGGTGACTATTTTGACTTATATGTGGCTGATAAAGCAAATGTGTCCAATGTTATTTTAACTTTATAGTTATACTTTTCCTCCATTTAAGACAGCCTTTTGTCAAGCGGGGCGTGGTAGTGCATGCCTTTAATCCCAGCACTTGGGAGGCAGAGGCAGGCGGATCTCTGAGTTCGAGGCCAGCCTGGTCTCTATAGTGAGTTCAGGCCTGTTGAGGCTTCGGGAGACCCTGTCTCAAAAAGACCAAAAAAAAAAAAAAAAAAACACAAAAACCCCCCCCCCAAAAAAAAAAAAAAACCAACCACTCTTTTGTCATCATAGGGCAAGTGAGAATAAGATGGACAGCAGCAATCTTGCGGTCATATTTGCACCAAATCTTCTTCAGACAAGTGAAGGACATGAGAAGATGTCTGCTAACACAGAGAAAAAGCTGCGATTACAGGCAGCAGTAGTACAGACTCTTATTGATTGTGCGTCGGATATTGGTAAGAGGTGGTTTACATTATAAGTGGTAGGATTTGTTTAAGTGAGGGCAATTCAAGACTCTTCCTAGTGAATATGGAGATAGCTGTTAGAAGGCTAACATTATTGCTTACACATTTTGGGGAGGGGTAAGGGAAGGAAGAAATAAGTGTTTTATTAACATTTTCATTTAGGGCATGTGCCAGATTTTATCCTGGAAAAGATACCAGCTATGTTAGGTATTGATGGTCTCTGTGCTACTCCATCACTGGAAGGCTTGGAAGACGGTGACTATGAAACCCCTGGTGAATGTAAGAGAAAGCGAAGACAAAGTGTTGGAGGTAATTGACAGTCTCCTCTTAGGGTGGTTACTGGGTTGGCTTTTATCTAAAGTGTGTTTAAACATAGCACATGTTTAATGGCATGGTATATGCCATTTGATGTTTACAACGGTAGTTGTAAAAATAAGACATTGGCACATTAGAAGTTAAAGTGATGATACAATCTAACACTAAGTGCTAAAACTTTAATACAAACATACAGTGTATTCAAAGGGGAAACCTTCCCTGGGCCACAATAACCAGAGACTTTCAAAGAACAGGTCAAACTGAGCATTATTTATTGGAACAAGAATTAAAGGCACCAGGGCCACAGGCTAGGGAAGCACTCTGCCTTTGAACTATATCACCAGCTCTCAACCTGAGTCTTCTTAAAGGATGGGTAGAATGCAGAGAAATTGGGTAGATCAGAAAACTTGTATTCTGTACTAGTTGCAAAAGATGTTGCAAAAATAGATTTATATAAGGAAGAATATATCTAGATTTGTGTTTGTAAAGAGCTCAGTGTGGTTGGAGTGAAGTATGTGTTTGTGGATTTGGATGGTATAATGCTCAACTAGATGTCATGCCAAAGACTTAGGTGTTGACAAGTCATAGAAGGTCATAATTTGAGACATACATGGCATGATTAAAGTGTTTTATAACAATTATCTGATTTAAAGAATTGATACTTAGAGGTAAGAGAATGCTAAGAGAGGAGTGGCCTAATATAGCTGAGTTCTTAGTGATGGGAATGAAGAATATAAATAATGAAGGCAATACTACTAAGAAAGGTTCAAAATGGACAGAAGTTAGATCATGGTAAGGTTGATAAGATTTCCTGTCTCTGCTTGATCAGGAAGACAGGCCATTCTTAATGAGGAACCGTTTTCGGTGTGTGAGTAAGCACTTGTGTGGAGGTCAGAGGGCAACCTTGACTGTCAGTCCTTGCTTTCAACTTTGTTTGAGACAGGATATCTTGTTTACTGCTGCTTACTCCAAGCTAGCTAGTCCACAAGCTTCCAGGAATTCTCCTGTCCACCTCCCATCTCACCGAAGGAGCGCCGGGATTACAGAGGCACATTTCTATGCCCAGTTTTTTGGTGGATTCTAGGGATTGGAACTTAGGATGTGACACTAACACAGCAAAAGCTTTACCCACTGAGCCATCTTGCCAGCCCAGTTTCTTATCTTTGGAGTATGAGAATCAACTCCTTTTGAATTTTTTGGTTTATTTATTGCTTTCTTGTGTTTCTTCTTTGCCACTTTTGTAGATTTCTTTTACTATTTCTCTATTATTTTTGTAGGGGTGCTGAGGCAATGCACCACAAATTGAGTGACTTAAAATCACAGTTCTAGAGGCCAATCTGTAAATCAGTGCCAGGTAGGTCTCTGAAATCTATAGGAGAGACTGCTTTCTTTCTCTTCTGGTTTGGTTGTGTTTCTGAAGCACAAAATTCAACCATAAAACTTCCTGTCACAAATGTAGGTATCTGATCTCATTAACCCCTATAGTTTCAGTTCCATTGACTGTCTTTGTGCCTTTTCCTTGAATTGTTAATGCCATTAAGGCTAACAGTCTGCATGCATGCACATGGACACACATGCATAGATGCCAGGAGGTAACATAATGCCTTTCTTCCGCGCAGCCACTAAGGTTACAGACCCTGACTTTTTAAGAAGGTGCTAGTGTAGAACTCAGGTCCTCATACTTGGGCAACAAGTACCTTGCCAAAAGTTGGTTTGACTAATAATACTGTTATTTATCGCTTAAGAATCTAGTGTACTTGTCTGGTGTTTCCTGTCTCCTCTTTATGCAACCTAAGTCAAACTTGGGTCTTTGTTTCCCTAACACGTTTCTTCTTTGGCTTATACTGTTCATTGGTAATTGTTTGTGTGGGGCGGGGGGTATGCCTGGGTGTGCCTGTGCAGAGGCCATAGTAGGACCCTGGGTGTCCTCTTTCACTCTTCAGCTTAACCTCCTTGAGACAGGACCTCTCAGTGAACCTGGAACTTGCTGGGTTTGGCTAGGCTGGCTGGCCAGCAAGCTCTAGTGATCCTCCTGTCTCCACCTACTCCCACAAGTGCTGGAGAACCAAACTTGCAAAGCAAATGCTCTTACCTACTGAACCATCTCCATTGCCTCTATTGACAATTTCTGTTTGCATCTGCCCTTGCTGTTCAAGTAACATTCAATTATCAAAACTCATCTTAAATGTCTTGTCAAGTAAGTTCCTCCCCCCATTTTTTTTCCAGGCAGGAAATAATTTCTGTCCTGATAGTCTATACTATTTCATTGAGGCTTTGAAAGCTTCTATCTAGTTCATATATCATTCCTTACATATGGCTCTCTACTATAGTTACTGTTCTTTGAATATAAAAGCCATCTTTTTGCTTTATATCCAACCTCATATTTTTTACAGAAAACACATTGAGTTATTAATATTTGGCTTAAACCAGAGATACTTTGGTTAAACACATTAGATTTAGCATTTATCAAACACCACTGAACTACATCAATTTCACTAGCAATTTCTTAGGTTATAGTTAGTCTTCTGTTATGGAGGGGTATCAACACTACAAGTATTCATGTGGTTCAACTGTATTTGCTTAGGAGAATCTTCACAATTTTTTTAAAAACTATGCTTTATATATATTTATGTCTAATAAAATTGATCATGCTAAACATTTTTAAGTGTGTTGTTCAGGAGTGTTAACGTACACTGTAATACAATCCTTCAGAACTGTTTTTGTTTGTTTCTTGAGACCGAGTCCAAATGTATATAAGCTCAAGTTAGCCTAGAACTCCAGATCCTTCTGCTTTAGCTTCCAGTGCAGAGATTTCAGGTATGTACCAGCATGCCTGGCTCTGGACTTTTCATAAATGTATACTATATGAATTAGTTTTTCTAGCTTAGTTTTGCATTCCTCTGAATGTGTGTACTCCTCTGTGTTGTTGCTATGCCAGCAAATATCTTTTTATAGATGCTGGTACCATGCTGAGGTGATTAATGCGATAGTTGTATTAGTGTAGTAGTTCCTGAAATCCATACATTAAGATCACAAGACTATTACAGGAACGAAGACATGATTTCTAAATTTCTCTAAACACTCTAGGTCATCAGAGTGCACGAGTGGTCCACGGTGTAATCAGGAAGGTTTCAGAATTTAGAAGGGGCAGTTTGTCTTGCTCCTGACTTTACTGTGCTATCCTAATTGTTTTCTGCTGTGGCTGAATCTGTTTAGAGTTGTTTCTGTTTTCTCAGCTCTGGCTCTTATTTTTCTTATTTCTTCGCGTGCCCCCCCCCGCCCCCATTTTAAACCTTGTTTGTATCAGTGCCATAAAGATTGAGTTTTCAAGCCGTTGCTTTCCAGTTAAGAGTTTTGCCTATTGTTTGCCATTCATTGAGGTTTTCATATTTTCTAGTTTGTACCTGTTTCTACACGAAGATGTAGATTCCTCTGTAATATATTATTGGGCAGTTTCTGAACTGAAATAAGTATTTTGATCCATATGAGTCCGTATGAGGGAGAATTTGGGACAGGTTCTCAATATGTAACTCTGGTCGGCCTGAATTCACTATGTAGACCAGCCTGGGCTTAAACATAACAGAGATGTGCCTGCCTCTCCCTCTTGCTGGGACTAAAGGTGTGTGCACCACCAAACTCAGCAGCCTTAAATGAGTATTTTGAGTGTCATTTGGTGACTTAATTGGGTGAAAAAAAATTTAAGGGACTTGTGTCTTCCTTTGTTGTATTAGTTACTTTTCTCACTGCTGTGACCAAACCCTGACAAGGAGAGGTTTATTGCGGCTCATGGTTTGAGAGTACAGTCTGTCATGGCAGTGGCAGCAGGAGGTGGCTGGTCACGTTTCATTACCAGTCAGGAAGCAGAGAGGTGAATGCACGTGCTCAGCAGGCTTCTCTGTTCCTTTCCCTTTTACTCAGTCTGGGCACCTAGCCCACCTTTGGGGTGGGCTGTCCAGTTACAGATATGTAGATGTTTAGGCCTGTGTTTATTCTGAATCACTGACTACTTGGTTATTTCCTTGACTTTTCTTCTCGTGTTGTATAATCACTATGCTGTCTTTCTTTCCCTACCCCATTTGCCATTTGTTTTGTCTCATTTTTTTAGATTTTCTGACACCTCTTATCATTTTAGCATGCTTAATCTTATACTTTACCTCTTTCTTAAATGATAACTCCCATTTCTGGGCTAATAACTTGCAAATTAACTTCTGTAGTCCCAGTTTTCCCACAAATAGGTTCATGTCCATTTCAGTATTCAGAGGCATATGTAACTTCTTTTCAATTTCTTTTTCAATGTTGTCATGATTATCTACTCAGTCATCAAAAATCAGTACTCTGGCTCTTTATCTGTTCTTTCCCTGTCCTCACATTTCATTCAGGATACACCCCCCCCCCTTGGGGGTATGAAGTATGATGGAGAAAAGGTATAAAAATTAGTGTTTTTCCTGTATTAGAATAAGTTTTTTATGTTTTATTATTTTTATTTTATGTGTATGAGTGTATTACCTTCATGTATGTAAGTGTGCCCATGCTATGCAATGCTCTTGGGGGTCACAAGAGGGTGTGGAATTCCCCTGGAACTGGCATTGCAGGTGGTTATTAGCTAAATGTGGGTGCTGGGAATTGAACCTGGGTCCTCTATAAGAGCAGCCAGTGCTCTTAACCACTGGGCCATCTCTCCAGCTTGCTAAAATACTATTAATACCAGGATGAATTATTAGTAAAGGCAGGGTATTACATTTTAATTGCTTATGTGAATTATATATACCTTACATTTCAGATTTTGTTAATGGAGCCCTAAATAAACTTAAATCTAGCAGAACACCATCTCTTACACCTCAGCAGGATAAAACTGGTAGGTGTTTGTTGTATGCTAATATATAAATGAAAGTTTCTTTAGTGTTCTGTAAAAACTCATAATAATTGCCTAACTTATTTAATAATCAAATCCTAGTACTATTTTCCACAGAAATGTTGTACTATGTTATGACATCATTAATTACATTAGTTTTGATAAAATTGTAGGTAGATAAGAATTTATTTTACTCTGTTATCCAATTGTTAATAATCTTAATCATGATTTTCAGTTGCTTATAATTTGGATGCTTTTAAACATGAAAAGTAACTCAACCTCATTTTGTTTTAGAATAAGAAATTTATATATTCTATAGTCTAATATTTTATACTGGTTTGCTTATGGATGAAAGTATTCAGCCAACAGTCAACAAGATCTTTTGTTTAAATAACATAAAATAACATAATTTTTCATCTTTTTTTTTTTTTTTTTTGAGACAGGGTCTTCCTGTAGTCCCAGCTGGCTTAGAACCTGCTATGTAGGCCAAGCTGATCTTGATCTCACAGAGAGAGATCTGCCTGCCTCTGCCTCCTGAGTGCTGGGATTTGTTTTCATATCTTGACTTTACATTCTTCCTTGTGTTAAAAATTCTTTAATCTATAGTATATGTGTCCATTACTCTATTTAGTTTAAGTTACTGCTGCTTCTTAAGAGTCTTGCCAAGCCTGATGTGGTTGCATGTACCAGCACATGGGCATCTGAGGCAGAAGAATCTCAAGTTGAAGTCCAGTCGGGGCTACATAGCGTAGGCCTTATCTCAAACAAAAGAAGAAAGAAGAAAATGTCTTGCCTCTTTGTAACTTTGTTATTTTCATTTTAAGTAACTGTAGAATGTTAATTTAATTAATAATGGACCTTAATAGAAATATATCACCCACATTTTTTGGTTACCTCTAAGAAATAGAGCTTATAAGAAATTAAATAAAGTGCTTGTATGTATTGTCTCTGTGAGAGGAACACATTGGTATGGTTTGGTTTTCAGCCCAGGCGTCTACATCACCAGTGATTCTTACTCCAAGTGCGAAGCGTAAATTGCCAGTAGATTCTTCTCATGCTTTCTCAAGTAAGAAGAGGAAGTCTATCAAACAGAATTTGAACTTTGAGCTGTTGCCAAGTCATCTCTTCAGCAGCAGTTCTACACCAGTATCAGGTAGCAAATAGAATCTTTATAAACATTATAAACATTAACCTGAGTGCCTGTTTTCAACAAAGAACTATTTCAGATTAATATTACCCATATGAGCCAAAAGTTTCTATGTTTAATTTTTGTATTTTTACAAGTTCTACCTTTTAAAGTAGGCACTGATTTAATATAAATAAAATATAAATGTCTGTGCTTTATGGCTATCCCTAGTGAAAGTTATGAATAACTCAGTGAGCATTGGGCTTCTGTAAATGGCATTGCTACTCAGGTTCTATGTGATTGGTTGGACCTGCTGAGTCCTATTTTAGTTTCTTCTGGGCCCATAGGTAGGCTCTATCTTTGATCTATGTATTGCTGTCTTTCGTTGAGCTGAGGTCAGAAGTTTGATCATCTCTAAATCGAGAATGAGAGTTATTCAGGCATGTTTTACACAACCTCTAAATCCTTGGTCAAGGTAATTGGCATATCATTTTAGACATTCATCATTTCATTTCAAGAACAGTTACCTATTGAATATCTGGTTTTGTTCCTATAGTCTTCCAGTTAATTATAGCATATGTAGAATAGGTAAGTTGACTCAGATTAACTTTATAATCAATCAAAAATTAAAGGAAACCCTAACTAAGCCCAGGGGACCCCTGTCTCATAGTCATCACATTTGATCAAAATCTGATTCTTTCAGATTTTCATGGTTTTTTTTTTTTTTTTTGAGTTTCAGGCACTGGTAAAAGTTCTGTATTGAATTCAAGAGCTGACCTATGAGCCCTTCTTCCCCAAAATGTCTTTTTGTTTTGTTTTGGGTTTTGTTTCTATTCAAAGGCTTGTACTTTGCTTAAGTTGAAAGAAGAGCGTCTTGTGGTTTTTTGGAAGAAAAGCTCTTCTTTACGGGTTCTGCACGGTTTCTTCAGGTATAATGAGGAATGTTGGCATTTGCATCTGTGGCACTTTCAGTAACCAGAGTTGGAGATTTAACTCTGCTAAAGTAACTTCGTATTTTTTTAATATTTAAAAGCCTATCCAGGTTGGAAGACTTTGCAAATGGCAAATTGGAATTACAGTTCTTCCTGCCATTATTTGTTAGCATTTGTCTTCCCCAAGTGCTGAACGTCTTGCTGTTTTCTATAAGCTGCTTCCAAAAGTTGAAATATTCTTGTGTTATTATAAGCTTAGTTTTAGCTTGAATAACCAGTCAACTTACTTTATTAAAAAATGTAAATGTTTGGGGCTCAGCAGTTAAGAGCGCTGACTATTCTTGCAAAGGACCTGGGTTCAATTCCCAGTACCCACATGACATCTAAGAACCATCCTTAACTCCAGTTCCAGGGGATCCAGTGCCCTTTTCTGATGGCCTCAGGCATTGTACAACATGGGCACACCTACCTACATGTAGGCATTACACTCATACACATAAAATAAAATAAAAATAATTAATAAAATATTTTTTAAGAAATTTAAATGTTCAACAGGAATTCTATCACTATTAATTCACCATTTTTCTTTGGTTTGCTTTCTTAATCAAAATTCAGTAGTTTGATATTTCAGACCAAAGATAGGTTGATTTCTAAGTTTGGGTTAAAAAGACCCTATTTTTTGTCTTAGTGTATAAAGACAGTATCATTAATACATAGTTCATACTATGTATGAACCTCTCTGTAGTTTTCTGTGTATGATTAATTTACATTATTCTACATATTCTTACTGTGCTGTGACCACTGATACATTTTCAAGGTGACTAAACAAGCTACCTAGATCACAGTGGATGTATTTTATTGACTTCTAAAATATTCTTTAGCCTAATGCATGCAAAAGCCATTGAGATCATTACATTTTTTATGTTTTCATGACTATACAAAGCCGTGAGTATCTTTTTGGGGTGCTTTGTGAATTTTTTTTATCAATAACTTATGGATTGACATGGATTGACAGTTCATGTTTGTTGGAGCTATACAGGGTATGACTCAAATGCAGTCAAATGTATATATGCACCCTATTTGTAACTTTCACTTCATAAAGTTTATACTGTAGCAGATTATATGATGTAGATGAGGTTGAATAGTAAAATCGAACTGTGCTGTAAACTGGAATTGTTTGCTTGGAGTATGGCAGGGATGAATAGATTAGGCATCGCTGTAGATAGTTTTTGTTTTATTCAACAAAAATATTGGAAAATTATACTTGAATCTAGTAGATAGCAGTTAGCTAGCAGATATTTCCTAAATGCACACACACCAACTTGTCAATAGTTTAATTTTTTAAAAGTTTTTTATTAGCATATATTGTATTAGTCTCTTTTCTGTTGCTGTGATAGAAACACCATGACCAAAGGAACTAATAAAAGGAGACGTTTATTTAGCTTACTGTTCCAAAGGGGCAAGGGTCAGTCAGTCATGGCGGGGTGGCATGGTGGCAGAGGTAGCTGGAGGAGGAGCGGAAGCTAAGCTGTCACACTTCAAGCAGGCACAGGAAGCAGAAAGCAATTCAAGATCTGGCAAAGCTTAAGAACTATCTAAGCCCGCCCCCAATCCCAATGATGTACTTTCTCCAGCATGGCCACACCTTCTAAGGCCTCCAAAAACAGAGCCACCAACTGGGAACAAAGTACCCAGATACTTGGAGCCTGTGGGGGACATTCTCATTCAAACCATGACATACATAGAATGAGTTTCATAGTAACATTTTCATACATACATGTCCCCTTCACACTTCCACTGATCTTGAGCAGTAATATTTATGTCCATTAAGAAGCTATATTTTCAGAGTCTTAAGTGATGGGCCAGCTCTGCCTCCAGTGTTTGTCAGGGTGTGTCCTTCCTTAATACTTAGAGAGTTTAGAGCAAAACTAATAGATTACTGCTTACTCTGACCTTTAATTGGCAGCTAATAAGTAGGAAACTAATACTTTTCCTTTTAGTTGAGTAGACCCCTGAAGCCTCTAACCAGAAATAGTGTGATTTTTGTTGCTCCAGGGAGGAGACAGAATTAGAATTGGATCTAATTGCTACTGTTCTACACTTTGAAAAGAAAATAGGTCTATGTGGCATGTTCTTTGTCCTTATATTCATAGTTCACTGTGATACAAGCCCAGAAGGGTCATCTCAGAGTCCACTCTCTCCTGTAGTTAACAGTGGCAACCATTTGATGAGCACAGAGCTACGACGAAGTAAAAGGATTGCCAGCAAAAAGGTTTACAGGTAATTTGTCCAAGGTGTTCTGTTTTCATTGGATGACTATTTGATGTCAACCAAGAATTATATTTTAATTGTTTTTAAAACCCCATCCGTCTTTATATTATTAGTGACAGACCCTTGATATACCATTAGAAAGAAGAAAACAATCAATTTGAATCAATTGTTCTTGTTTAAAATCCTGTTTTATGTTAATGGTACACTTTAAGTCTTGTTAGTTTTATAAATCTATTCTAATGATCCTGGTTTATAAGTTACTAAGTACGATAAATTTTTATATGCAGATATAATGTGCTTATATATGATATCTTAAAGTTTAAGTCACTTTTAAAAATTTGTTAACTCCTGTTATTAGCAATATAATATTTCTTTGAACATTGTCAAATTTCACTTTATAAGAATTTCTGATATGTTAGAAACTGACATTTTAAATTTCTTGCTTTTTAGGGTAGAATCTGGAAAAGCAGGCTGCTTCTCCCCTAAAGTCAGTCGTAAAGAAAAGGTCCGAAGATCTCTTCGTCTGAAATTTAGTCTGGGGAAAAATAGAGATTCAGTAAGTGTCTTGTTGCGATAGAATGCCTGTTGTAAACAGCTTAAAGGAGAAAAAATTCTTTTGCTGATAATTTTCAGAAATGTCAGTTCATCATGGTGGGGAGGCTGTGGCAAAGCAGAACATTTCACATCATAGCAGCTAGGAATCAGAGGAAGGAAATACAGGAGGGGCCAGGGAGAGATGAGACAAGGGCATGTGTCTCTCCATCCTCCAAATTCCACCTTTCACCACCTCTCAGTAATGCCATCAGATTATGAGCACATTAATCAGGATCTATTCATTAGGCCAGAATCTTCATCTGTTCCTGGAAACACCATCGCACACACCCATGAAGGTGTGTATACTAATGTCCTAGGCATTTCTCAGTCAAGCTCACAATTAAGAACATCACAGTGATTTATCATTTTACTAATCTAGTGCCGTAATATATTCCATATTAGCATAAAGCTCTAGATTTGTTACTAAAAAAAAAAAAAAAAATCCTGCCTCCCCACTAGTATACTGTACCATATTCCACTCCATTTTTTATCAACACTTTTGTCCCAAAACTTCACTGAAACTGCTCTCATGGTGGCCCATGAACTTGACATTGCTGAAACCAGGGGGCAAATGTTAAACCTTATTCCACCTGTCCTGTCATCAGCATTTGGCGCACGTGATCACTGGCTCCTCCTCGGTTTACTTACTTTCTTTGCTTCTTCATCGGTTACTTTTCAAATTCCTTTGTAACAGTGACTAAAGCTGTATTTATCTGGAAATCCATGTTTAAGTTCTCTAACCCAGGATACCCCCCTGAACAGACTGACCACCTAGACTTGTGTATAGGTTTTTTGGTTGTTTGGATTTGGGGGACATGTTTTTCGTTTTTGTTCATGTTGCTAAGTATGTGTTGTGTCACTGAACAATCAGAGCTACTCAAGCACTGCTCTTTCTTATTTCTCCTTATTCCTTGCTCTAGTCAAAGCTAACCTCTCAGGCTAGTTCCTGAGATAGGTTTCCTTGCTGCTGCTGTCCCTGCACCAAACCACTCTTATCTCTCCATTTCAGTTAGGCAACTTGCTCTTCTAATCACATAGGTCAGGACCACGGCACATTCTTGATTCTTCACCTGCTCATGCATGACACCTAATCTGTTAAGAGAAGTCTGCTGAACTTCTGCTCAGTGTCTCTCCAAACTGTCATTTCTTAGCTGGGTAACTACATCTGATCTTATAATAGGTGTGTCTGCTTCTGACCTTCCTTCAGTATTTGCATCCAAAATGGTCCTTTTAAGACCCAGGTTACGTCATATTACTCTTTTGTTCTGAACCCTCCAGTGATACATTTCATTCTGAATAAAACCCCATATTCCCACATTAACTGTAGTTCTCCATGTGATCCATTCCAGACCACATCTCTGAGCTCTCATCCTGGCACTCCCCCTCTCACTCTGCTTCAGCTCTGACTTGCTCCCACTGCAGAGACAGCACTAGCATCTTCTCCCTGAAATGTTCTCACACTTAAGTCTTCCTTGCTCTGCTACTTTTTCTTGACTAACAACTCATCTTCTCATCACCCCATTTGAAATTATACTCCCACCCCAACAAATTCCATCCTCCTTACTCTGTTGGACTGTTCTCTGTAGCAGTTTTTGCCTTTTATATTGTACTTTTGCAATATAATTTGCTGCTTGTCTTGTTTTGATCTGGATCTTCTCATCTTAGAATGTAAATTCCATGCAGGTGAAATTTTGTTTCCCTACCCCCCCCCACACACAGTTTATAATTTTTAATTATAAAATTAAAACACAGAGACAACAAAAAATTTGTTTTGTATAAAAGTTAATTTGTGAGACTGGTTATTTTGGGGGGTTGTTTGCTTGTTTTTTCTTCACAAAATATTACCTAATGCTTATAATTGGCAGGCAAGAATGTTGGTGTTTGATACAAAATTGGCTCAGTATATATGCCTTTCAAAATTAGTTACTGATTTCAGTACTTAGCTGGTCTTAGTATTTTGAATTACCTGGGTTTTTGTAACCAAGCTGTTTTCACATTATCTTTTCTCTACAGAATGGATGTTCTGGCATCAATAGATATGAACATGTTGGTCGGCGACTAGCAAATCAACAAAGTTTTAAAGCTAGGATTGAATCTGTAAAAACAGGCCTGCATTTTAGCCCAGATATTGATGAAAGATTATCAAAGAAAGGTACATTTACACAGTGCTGTTAGAATTTTACCCCAAAGTCCTGCTTTAGTTCTGTTTTAATGATAGAAAAATATGTATTTGCTGTTCTAAGTTTAAAGTTCACATTTGACTAGTGAAAATTTGACTTGGCAGTGTATTTTTCTGTAAACAGGGTGATTATAAATGTTAATATTTGATATTTTTGTCTTAAATTTCATAACATCTTTAATGTTTTGGAAGTAAATGCTTAGTACCTTTATTTTCCACGTAGGGAAGTTTAAAGTATTAAAAGCACTGAACTACTTTATTTTAGGTTCAGAAAAGATGAGCAAGTCTGAGGAAAACTTAACTCCAGATCGACTAGATGGAGGAGGTTATGGGATGTCCTGGACAGAACACAGTAATTCAAGTTTTCAAGATATGGATGCAAATGAAACTTCTTCAGTAATGAAAAATCTTGAGGTGGAAAACTTTTCTTTGGAGCCGGCTGTCACTGTTGAGAAGTTGCCAGTTGTGTCGTGTGATTTCAGCCCCTCTACTTTGCACAACCAACCTAACAGCAGTGTCCTAGGAAGTTCCCTTAGTGGTGATGAAAGTAACATGACCTCTCAGACCTTGGTAAAGATTCAGAAAGCATTTTCTGAGTCTGGGAGTGATCTTCACACATTGATAAATCATAGGCAGACATCAATAACCAGTAAGGGGGAAGAAAGTGAAGCATCTTATGTAAAATATAGCCCAGAGAAAAGTCTGTTTGAAGGTAATGATTTGATTATGAGAAAATCAAAGGAAAATGATGAAAACTACACTGGTAAAGATGAATGTGTTTTAGAAAGAGACTTCTCACCACATCAAAGTCCAAAATTTGGTAGAGAAGTAACTATAGAATGTTACTCAACTCAAATGAAGGTGGACTTTGAAAAAGACATCCACTCAGATACACTAAGTGATGATTTAAGCCAGCAAGAATTCCCCAGTGATGAACAGTCGAAAGAACAACAGTCCCCAGGGGATAAACTAAATACTCAGTCAAAGGAGAATGAGAATGTGATGGAAGAGAACTCAGTGGCATGCGAAGGTTCTGGGGAAGGTGAGGCTAAATCCTCGTATCTACAGCAAACTGCATGCCCTGTAACAGTCCTTTCAAAGCCTAGACCTGCGAGACTTGTTACACAACTGTCACTGGTGGAGAAATGTGATGAATCAGGTCCTGGAAGTTTTCAGCTGACAGAGCATGGGAAGGTTTCAGATCACATACAGTGGTTTAATAAGCTTTCTCTAAATGAACCAAACAGAACAAAAGTGAAGTCGCCTCTTAAGTTTCAGCGTACTCCTGTCCGTCAGTCTGTCAGAAGAATAAATTCCTTGTTGGAGTACGGCAGACAACCTGTGAGACAGAAGTTGGCAATCTTTGATGATGCTGCTTCTCCCCTGGTTAAGTCGGTGAGCTGTGACAGTGCTCTTCCCTCTTGTGTAGAAAATACATTAAAAAACTCTGTTTCATTTACTAAATCAGGTCCTAAAGAACAGATGTCTACATCATGTGATAAGTCAAATGATGCAGTTTCAAAACCAAGCATAGAGTTAGCTTCTAAGTCTTTCTCAAAAATGAAGAGATACCCAGATCCTGTGCATGCTTCTCTTGGATCTAGTAGACTTTGTAAAGAGGAGAGCAAATCTGATGGCCAAGTTAAGGTTCCCTTGGATGATCTGACTAATCATGATATATTAAAATGTGTTGTAAATAACAATGTAGGCTTTTCTCCTGGCATAAAAAGTAGAGTCCTAAGGAAACCTTCAGAAAAAGAAAGGGTCTGGTACAAAGGGTCTCCCAAAAATCCTATTGGAAAGACTCAACTACTACCAACAAGTAAACCTGTAGACTTGTAACTGATGTGTAGACTGTCATTAATGTAAATAACATTAGCACTTGATGAAGCGACTTGCAGGTCTATGTGTAGATCTATCTGCAGCTCAGGATGCTTGTCAAGCAGTAACTTTTCTCTGAAGCAGTTTCACTGCAGGGGCAGCTTGAATTTTCATACTTGTACATATGACTGTTTAGTTTCTCTTCATTGCTACAGCATATAAACTTTTGTGATATGCTTAAAGCGTATGTTAGACCTTACCGTTTTAAAGACATTGTTGGTTAAATTTATCAAAAAAATAATTTTGAAAATTACGTGATTGTTTTGTGTGCATGATAAGAAGAGGACAGGAAGTTGTACCTACCTGTTTCTTGTTGCTCTGCCAAGTCAGATTTTCTATTGCAGATCTGTACTATGTAAGCCCCACAAATCTTTTGTCTTGAATTATATTCATGTTTGTTGTCTTTACCAAAATCCTGGAAGTTAATTTGCCCCAATGGTATCCTAATACTTCTGTTTGGGACAGGGACATTTGGTTAGTATCTCTTGTAGATGTACACTGATTTCATGTGCTTCTGAACAGTGTTTAAGCACACTGATGACTAAAGTGTGCTTGTATATTATAATGGAGAAGTAATTGATTATTTTTAAGCCATACTGTTTTTAAAGGTAATTTGCACAAATACATTTTGATCTATTTTGTCCAATATGGAAATGAAACTTTTAGGGAGGAATAATTAAACTTGGAAATTTTAATCAAAGTGGTTTCATTCTATGAAGATGTTTGATTTTGAATTGCTAATGTACCTCTATACAATTTACTTAGATTTAAAAAAAAAATCTGATAGTTTTATCATGTGCTTAAATGTTATTTATTTAGCATAGGCATTAAAAATAACATCTGGAAAATGACTTGCCTGAGACTAATGAAATTCGAAGTATCATGTTTTAGAGGCAGAGCCATGTACACACGCAGAGCAACTGTACCTACACCATATGTTTGTGTATAAGGAATTCCAAGTCATCTTGTCTGCTTGGCCGGGTTTTAAAGACATTACATCTATTTTATGTCAAAGTTATTTCCTATTTTCTATGTTCATTACCTGAGACTCCTATTCCAGAACTAGTATTTACATAAAGACTAAAAATCTGGTTGTAAACATTTTTATTATTTTTGTAGATTTGTACTACAGACTTAGATGTGCATTTTAGGAATCTCTGGAACAGGTTGGAGGTCCCTTATCTTAAATGGTCTGGACTAGAAGTAGTTCAGATTTTGGAATATTTACATGGGTGTTATTGGCTGAACAAACCTAAAACAGAAATCTGAGGTGCTTTGAGACATTTTGAACTAAGGTCTCAGGACTCCATGCATGCCAAGAGTTCCTTCTGAGCTTTCTATTTATTTTAAGTACTTGAGCAGGGCATGGTGGAGTATGCCTGTGATACTAGCACTCAGGAAAGAGAGGCACAGGGTAGAGAGAGCTTGTCTCCAACAAACGGTCTATAAGACCTTTGAACCTCAAACTCAAAGATTTGAGACCATTTCATACTTTGGAGTTAAGGAAATGGAGTGTTAAATGGTTTCATTTTTGTATTTATTTTTTCTTATACAAAATGGAGATAGTTACTGATGGAGCATATGAGTAAAAACCTAAAGTTAATAGACTTCTGGGCAACCTTATCTAATTCTAAAACGTTAGTATAGGGTTTTGATAATCATCAGGCTAGGATATGTATGGTGCACACTTTTTGTTTGTTTGTTTTGTTTTTTTGTCTTTTTTTGAGACAGTGTCTCCCTGTAGCCCCAGCTGTCCTGGAACTCACTAGAGCAGGCTGGCCTTGAATTCATAGGAGGCCTCTGCCTCCTGAGTGCTGGAATTAAAGGCGTGTGCCACCATGCCTGGCACACTTACTTTTTTAAAAAATACCAAATTTTGGTCCAGTGCACCTGTGTGTACCTGTAGTTAGATCTGCTTAGGAGGCCGAGGTAGGATCATTTGAGACCAGCCTTGGTATCAGTGAGATGCTGTGTTAAGGCTCAGAGTCTTTGGTCCCCAGTGGATGGCATTATTTGTGGAGGTCATAGAACCTTTAGGAGGTGGGGCCTGGCTGGAGCACATGGGTCACTGGGGTGCCTTTGAAGACTATCTCCGGTCCACAGTCCCTTGCACGCTTTCTGCTGCATGTCCTCTTCTGCACACCCCTATCACCATGATGTTTTGATTCATTGTAGGCTCATAAAAATGGAGCTAACAATTATGTACTGAAATCTCCATAGTTCTCCAAAATAAGTATGTCATCCATCCCTCAGGTATTTTGTGAGCAGTACAAAGTCTTAACATCCTGTTTCTAAAATAAGAATAAGGTTACATGAATTGCAGACATTTTAGTCTATTTCAGTCAACTTTTATTTTTTTGAGACAGGGTCTCGCTGTAGCCCCAGCTGGCCTGGTAGATCAGGCTGGCCTTGCAATCAACTTTTCACTCAACACACAATTGTAGTAACTGTTTTTCCAAGCTTAAGTTGAAGATAATACCTGAGTAATGTTGAAGTAAAGTTCAGAATTGACATAGCAGCATAGTTTGAACCTAGAGCAGCAAAGTGTATGTTATGTGGCCAGGAAAAAAAAAAAAAAAAAACCCAAATCAGAAAAGCATCCAGGGAAGGAAAACCATTTGGAAAGATGTTTGGCTTCAACAGAAGGCTGTCTGTCTCATAAGTGAAGTTTTCCAGCCTCTGGTAAATGCTGTGGATGATAATGGATTTACTACATGGAGCTACAGTAGAGAAGTGGTTTCTAACCTCATTATTTAATCTGTCCTTTCCCAGGTACTTTACTCATTCCTAATTGTTCACTGTTTTATGGCATCTGTACTCATAAGTTTCTTTCAAGGCAAGAGATCCTGCAAGTCCCTGGGTTCCATCACCAGCACCCCAAAAAAATAAATTCCAGATTTGCTTGGGTAATTTCTACACATCCTAGGAGTAAGGTTTCTCTTGGTGAGTTGAGAAATAACAGTCAAGCCAGGTGTTATGGCCTACCCATTTAATCTCAGCATTTAGGAGGCTGAGGCAGGTAAATCTCTGTGAGTTCCAGGCCAACCTGGTCTACATAGTGAGCTCCAAGCCAGCAGTGGCTACAGGGAGACCCTATCACCAAAAGACCAAAAAATAACAGTAGTTCAGAACCCCCAGGTGCCTTGGTGTGTTTAGGCAGCAGTCTGCTGCCCTCCACAGAATGGGGAATATGCTGGCTGGTCAGCCTTATAGGAATCCTAGGCTGAATAAGGAGTGTTCTGTGTTCCTAGGGGTTAGCCTTTTAGTGTGGCTGACACTAAAAGCCAAACCTTGAACACTTTTCTTGGCACTCAGTACCTGTGAGAAAGGCTGCCATCTTGGGACTACCCAAATTTTTCTATAGAATTCACTACACACATTCTGGTTAGGAGAAAAACTAGAACCCACACTGAAGAAATCCATTTCCTTCCTTTCCTCACTGGCATTGATGATGGCCCCCAAACTGAATCACTATAAGAACAGCCAGAGCATCAGTCAATCTGTCCATCCAAGTGTACCTTCTGTGAGGAGTCTCCCCACACTATTCCCCCTGTCCTCAAGTTCTCCCCTTAGCCAGCCATTCAGCCCCCTTCCCTGGATTGTTTTATTAGGTTTTGACCAGCCGTTCCTGCCAGGTCACCAAGTCTTCTCCTCCAGGCTCTCCAGCTCCTGCTGTCTTCTCAGGCCCTGCTTCCACTCTGGGTTTTTTTGTTTGTTTGTTTTTGTGTTATGTTTTGTTTTCTCCTTTTTGAGACAGGTTCTTCCTGTAGACCCAGCTGGCCTGGAACTCACTATGTAGACCAGGCTGGCCTGGAACTCAGAGATCAGCCTGCCTCTGCTGGGATTCATCATACCCAGCTGTCTGTATTTTAAAGTTAACTCTGGGCCTGTGGGTTAATACAAAGCTGAGTCACTGCAGATTGTGATCTTGCATCCTGTCTACAAACAGGAGGAGCCTACTTTTTAGAAGCAACCCAGCCTCCTGTGCTCTTCCTTTCATTTTTTTATGTTCACATTAAGAAAAACTGCCGGGTGTGGTGGCACACGCCTTTAATCCCAGCACTTGGGAGGCAGAGGCAGGCGGATATCTGTGAGTTGAAGGTCAGCCTGCTCTACATAGTGAGTTCCAGGACAGCTGGGGCTACAGGGAGACCTAAAAAAAAAAAAAAAAAAAAAAAAAAAAAAAAAAAAACCTCCCAGAGCTTGACTGTTGAACAGGTATGACTCTCCTATTATGTGAAAATAGTGGTTTTATAGGCTATTCTGTCAGAAAAGACAGTATTTGTGGAAGCACAGCTTTATGGCTAATTTTTTGTTGTTGCTTTAACTAATAGTGTAGCAGAAGGGGAAAAACCACTGGGAGCCAGTGTTCCTAGTTGTCCACTCCTACTGTTGCCTCTTCCCGCTAGAAGACAAAGACAAAAATAACCCAGACTTGGAAAGAAATGCTACATGTTTTCTCTTTTATATGGGTCTATCTAAGATTTCAATTTTTACACCTGTGAGTGTGAGTATGGGTCATGAAACTACACGGGACCATGAAAGGTGGAAGTTTAAGGGGGAGGGGCGTGGAAAGAAAGGATAATAGAATCAAGGAATAGAAAAGGGGAGGGGAGTGGTTTGGATGCAGGGGGGCAAGGAGAACGAAGTATGAAAATTCTATAATGAAACTGCTTCATACGCTATTTTAAAAACCATGTTCTAAAAGGTAGCAAAACTAAAGATGTGCTATGTAGTGATCTACATTTAGAAATTGCTTGAGACAGAAAAGGTAAATGGCGTCTGTAGGGGTTGATGGAGGAAAAGGGCACGCCAGAGGGCTCAAGGTTCAAGAGATGGATAGGCCTGAGCTGGAACACAGTTAGGCTCCTAGCCAGAGAGCCACAGGCATCCAGAATGCGCTTCAGGAACTGTTGGAAGGCCGCTTCCACCTGCTGGAGGCGGGGAAGTGGGTGGAGCTAGGATGCGGAGGAGGGTGACGCAGGAGCTATCCAGCTCCCAGCTCTCCATCCACCGACATCAAGGCCCAGACTGTACCAAGCTCGTCCGCTGCTCCTTGGTGAGTCCGGAACTGACGGCCAGTCCTCTGTCAGCCGAGACACGCAAGTACTTGGGTTCCAAAGGTGGGGAGGGTGAAATTTCCCGCAGAAATCCTGGAGCTTGAGGCTGGGGTCAGACAAAGGATGGACTGAGGATACTATAAGGATTGGTTATAAATAGGGGGTGGGGGTAAGAGTTCCGAGGGAGGTGATTGGGTAGTTCATCCGTTGGCTAGACTGAAGGAAAAACAAAACAAACAAACAAAAAAACCCGTCCTGCATTGAGAGCCCATGGGGACGTTGGAGATGATCCGGGAGCCTGGTGCCTGCATCCGGCCCTTTGATCACAGCTGTAGATTCTGCTGTTAAAATAGCTGTTCTCAGCTCTTTCACGAGCAAGCTTTTATGTCTACTAGTGGCTACAAAAAGCCTTTCGCTGCAGAAAAAGAAATTGGATGGTACGAATATTTCAGTTTTAGGGAAGAAAGGGATGGCTTGTCTCTTTCTTACTGTTCCAACCCCCACCTCCAGTGGAATGAATGGTCAAAAGGAGGGTTCGCCCGACTGTGGCCTGAAGCATGCATCCTAAACAAATTAAGCAGCTGCCAGGAAAGCTGTATGAATATTGTGCCCCTGCTCTACAGGCATATCCGTGGACCCCAACACGTAGGGCAGATCGGCTCCCCAAATGTTTTCAAAAGCCCACTATTTCACTTCACCTGCCTTCCCTCTTCTCGCTGCCACCTCCACAATCGTAACCACCAGAACTATGAGGGGATGTTACCAGCACAGTAATAACTGCAAAGGGGGCTCCCGCTGTGCCTGGCAATGTCCTAGTGGTTTGTGTGTTTATCTTCAGAATAGTCCCATAAGACAGCTGCATTGCTATCCTCTTTCTGCAGAAGATGCAGCTGAGGTACCAAGATCATCCAGGTAGTGTGCAGGCTTCCTAGGTCTCTGGGCAGGTTCTGAGCTGTATACTTTTGCTCAGTCTCTCTGCTAATTTAAAACACTCTCTGCCACCACTCCTGAACTTTCTGTCCTTGTTACTGTTTGGATCTTTCTAATTCCCCATTACCCTTTTCTTCCTTCAGATTGGGGAAAATTCCTTTCTCAAATTGAAAGGAATTTTTGTTTGACACAAGAGGGAGAGACTGGTGGGGTTCAAGGAGTGCAGGCAGTAGGTGTGGTCCCAGCTTAGATCTCTGGGGGTATGCAAGTTCTGAGGGAATTGCTTACCCTAGCCTGTCTGGTCTCTAGTTATTTAATACCTTCCTACAGTGATGTCCTACCTAGCTTGGACACTTGAAACAAAAACAAGCCTCTAGGAATTCTTCATTGCAGTTCTTTTGAGTGGTCCTTGAGCTTCACCTTGTTTTGATTCATAGTTACATCACAGTTATGTTATCACAAACTGTGGCCAAGTGATATAAACTTGGTCTTTTTTTCTTTTTCTGCAGGTTAAAAATGGTCTCCAGGATGGTCTTGACCATGCTCTCTGGCCTTTTGTTTTGGCTGTTGTTTGGATGGACTCCAGCATTTGCTTACAGTCCACGGACCCCTGACCGGGTCTCAGAAACAGATATCCAGAGGCTGCTCCATGGTGTTATGGAGCAGCTGGGTATTGCTAGGCCCCGCGTAGAATACCCAGCTCACCAGGCCATGAATCTTGTGGGGCCACAGAGCATCGAAGGTATGTGCTGTTTTGGAGCCATGAAGTTACTGTTTGCATTTCTGAGATTACTGTCTCTTAAGTTTCTTTCAGTCTTTGGTTGGTTGGTTTGGTTTGCTCTTTTAGGCAGAATCTCAGGTGGATCAGGCTGGCCTTGAATTCCTTATATAGCCAAGAATGGCCTTGAGCTCTTGACCCTTCTGTCTCTACTTCCCAAGTGCTAGAATTACAGAAGCCAAGTTTATGAGATGCTGGCAAGGGAACCCAGGGCCTCATGCATACTAGGCATGATCTCTACTGACTGAGCTACATCCCTAGCCTTATTTTCTCTTCTAATTCTGCACAGTGTACATATACATAATACACTTACATGAAAATAGCAAAACCACATCTTTGTGAAATCTTCCAAGTATCTGAGTTTCTGACAATGTGCTTATAAAACTTAAGTAGAAAGTTGTATTTCATTTGTTTGCTGTTTAATGATTGATATATAAAAGTCTTACCCATAGGAGTAGGGAGTAGATCCTTAAGAAAAACATGAATTCTCTCATTGAGTTTACTCAGAGCACACACTGGGCAAATGCTATCTTGATGGCTTGATTATGCATAATTTTTCCTGTTGTGATTTCCTAAAGATGCTTGTGCCACAGAGGTCTGTGAATGCCATGTATATTGATGGCAGATGATCCTCCTACCTTGTCTTGTTTCTCATGGTTTTAAGCCATTGAGAATGCTGTGTATTTAGCTTGACATTTGGATTTGGGAGTAGATTAATATGAATAATTTGACTCCATCAGCATGCAGTCCTAGCATAGGCCTTATTTCAAGATAAATCAGCACTTCTTGCTGTCCCTTTTGTGGAAAATCTACACCTTTCTAAGCACCAGCACCTGTTCCTTTAAGTACACCTATTTATTTCATACTTTTTTTTGAGACAGTAAATATATGCCTTTTTTTGTGCATGAAATGCTTGGTTAATCATTCATCTGTTGTCATGGAGAAGGTTCCCCCTGGTATCAAAAGCTAATGTTTGTCCAGAGCTTGATTTTCACTCAGTATTTAATTATTTATTACTGTATATGGCAGCCACTCTGCAGGAGAGTGGGGGCAGCTCTGCCCTAAATGAGTCAGGCTCATCTAATGGTGGAGTGGGAACGATAAAGAGTTATTGCAGTGCATCCTGACACTGTTTCCATAGAAGCAAAGAGTAGGAGACTGGTCAAGAGTGGACTGGAGCCTATAAGGAAATGCTTCTTAGAAGAAGTAACATTTGACCTGGGGTTTGAGGTTCACCTAAGAAATCCTTGGGTGACCAGGATGAAAAGACACAGAGGAATGAAAGAGCAGGGATTCTGACAGTTCCAAGTTGGAAATGGTTTCCTTTATTACTCTTGAGGTAATAAGCTGTCATAGCAAGGTCAGTTCTCCCCTATCAATATCTAAGGGATAAGTATTGACTTGTATTTCCGTTCTCTATCACGGCATTCACAAATGAACAGGGCACTCATAATCTCCCAATTTCGTAGCAAGATCAGTTCTCCCCTATTGATATATAAGGGATAAGTATTGACTTGTATTTCCATATCTTTTACCACGGCATTCACAGATGAACAGGGCACTCATTATCTCCCAATTTCCACTGGTCAGTGCCCCACTCCACCCAGAGTATCAACCAGGCTGAAATCAGGGGTTGACCAGCAATGCAATGAAGCTGTCATAGGAGCTTTAAAACTCATTAAAGGCAATTGGCAGTATTCATTTTCATGCAGTTATCAAAGTCCTCTTTGGCTTGATGACTGTCAGCTGAGGCCCCCGCTCAGCTCTTAGAAGCCACTCTTGGCAGTATGGTCACTTGTAACATGACAGGCTATCCTGAATGAGAATGTCCTTTCATGGCGCTTTACTTCCCCCAAAGCCAGTATATCTCTTCAAAGATATTTCCTTAGTCTGATAATGACAATGTAATATAATCATGGGAGTCAGCATCCCACCACCTTTGTCATGTAAGATGATAGTGCATTATATCACAGTCTTTGCATACTCAAGGGCAAAGAATCTTGCAGAGGCTCAGCAGATAAGAATCTTGGGGCCATCTTAGAATTCTGCCTATTATACCTCAGCTGAAAGCTGAGAGAAAATTGTCCAAAGCCAATGGGGAGAAAAGAAACTAAATGCAAATCCTGGATTTTTCCCATTCCAGGGCTGTGGCTTTAACTGGATGGCCTGATTCTTTTTCATTTGACTATATCATTGTTTTGACTCTTCCATTTACCTGCCTTGCCTGCTCAGAGAATCACTCACTCTGTGGAATGATTCCTTCCACACCCTTCAAGCATCACAAAGTTTTCCTCATTAAAAAAAATTTTTGTATTGTTCTTATTTTATGTGTATGAGTGTATTGTGTACATGTGTGTAAGTGCACCTGTGTCATGTGATGTTTGCAATGGTCAGAAGAAGGCATTGGATCCCCTGGAACTGGAGTAATGGATGGTTAGTAGCTACCATGTGGGTACTGGGAACTGAACCTGGCTCCTCTACAAGAGCAGTCAGTGCTCTTAACCACTGAGTCATCTCTCCAGCCCTGGTTTTTCTCATTTTTATAGAGAGAACATATACAGTACATGTATTCCTGTGTAAATTTTAACACATATTTAATGTGGTTATGAGTGGAAACTGTTACCTAAGTGACCTAGATATGATTACCAATTCCATTTTTTACTGATCTTTAATGAAGTTCACTTCTGTTCCTGGTCAGCTTAGGCTCTTCTCTACAGGCACCGTATGAGTAAGGAGCCTCTTCCAAATGTATAAGTTCTCAACCAAAAGCCAGACAAAAATCGCAAAGTAAAGGCAAATAAACAGTGATATTCTATAAAGAAAAGAGCATGCACTTTGATGGCAAGGGCAACAGAGGTTGAATCACGACCATACTGTTTCCTAGCTGAGTGTGATCTTGGCAACTTCTTTGAAACATAGCTTTCAATGAGGCTTCCTGCCTGTACTCTCGAATGCAGTTTGTGGGAGGCTGTCAGTAAGAGAACTGCAAGCCTGCTCCTGCTTTCTGTAGATTAGCAACAGTATTCTTTAAATCTTTAATGATTTGCCCCAATTTTAGAAACCAGATTGGCCTTAAACTTGTTAGATAGCCAAGGATGACCTTGAACTTCTGATCCTCCTACCTCCACTTCTGGTCTTTTTGGCCCACTCATTGGTTAGCAGCAGTTAGCCGTGCTTCACTGCACCTTGTGTTCAGCCTGGCCCATCTTCCATCAGCTTAGAGAGGCTGTGGGTCTCTGTGACTAAATAAATACTACTAAATGCTAACAGTAGTTAAATGCTACTGTTGTCACTTGACCCTCAGAAACAAGGATAGCTACCAGCTATCCAAGGGACTGACTCAGAGCCATCTGCTATAGAATGAGGACCTCGGGGAAGGGAGGCAAACTGACTCAGCCAGCTGACACTGTTACTGGATTTGAGTGAATCAAACCAGGATAAATACTCTAGTTTTCAGAATATTAGGAGTTTCAGGTAAAAAAAAAAAATTAAACTGACCTTCTAAGTGTCAGTTGTTCTTTCCTCCTGTATTCCAAACTAATGTGTGTGTGTGTGTGTGTGTGTGTGTGTGTGTGTGTGTGTGATGGTGACACTAGGTATCAAGCCATTAAGACAGAGATGTATAAGTATTAGCATTTAATGGTTCAAAATAATTTTTACTCATATTGCCAAACACAGAAATACCAACAATCTGGGGGCTGGAGAGATGGCTCGGCAGTTAAGAACACTGGCTGCTCTTGGCAGAAGACCCTGGTTCGATTCCCAGCACACACAGGCGGCTAACAACTGTCCATAACTCCAGTTCCAGGGGATCTGGTACCCTCCTCTGACCTCCTTGGGCATTGCACAACATGGGTGCACTTACACACATGCAATGCGCTCATCACTCACACACATAAAATAAAACTAAATAAAAAATTTTTAAATAAAAATTTTAATAAAAAAATTTGAATTTGAATTTTTTTCAAAATAAAAAGAACTTAAATTATTTTCTTGATTATATGAAGTGGAAAAAGGGCCTCTGTAAGTTAGCATGCTTGAAAAGCCAGGTAGGCTCGAAGGAGCCTGCATTTGGCACTTTGGCACTGGATACAGATGCTGCAGTACCTCCACCCTGCCACAGAGTGGCAGTAGTTGCTTTGCAGTCAAAGTCTGGAAAGGTAAAGGAGTTGTGAAAACATGAAGGAGCGTGGAGGAGCCTTGCTTCGTTTCTAGCTGGTCTCTCTCTGCAGTTGGGAGAAGAGACAGGCTGCTTCTTGACCCAGAGCTTGACTAAAGTCTACTTCTAAGTTATTCCCATTCCAGAGGAATCAATGAGGAGTTTATGACTCCCATTGCCTGGATCGAGACCTCCAATTTGGGGTTACCTTGGGATCAACCCCAACTGAACTTTGGGGTTACCTTGGGATCAACCCCAACTGAACTTCTTTTAAAAGTCCCTGGGAAATAGTTTTTAGCTTTCTGTGTGGATCAATTCCTTGGACAGTAATAAGAAATCCAAAAGAAGTAGATGTAAAGGGGAGCACGGGATGGGGAAGATGAAAATGATTATGGTGTTTCAGGGCATCTGGGGATAGTGTGCAGAAGGAACTTAGATGTGCATAACACAGAGAGGTGTCTGGTGAAGGGAGGACTTTTTGGAGTCATCTTCATGTTGGTGATGACTGATACTATAGCATGAATGAGGTGTCCTAGGTGGACATCTTGTAAGAAGACAACATCTTAAAACAAAACCCCTTAGAACCTAACACAGAAATGCCAAGTGGACAAGAAGAATCTGCAAAGGAAACTGAGAAGGTGGGTATGTAGCTCTACAATAAGGCACTTGCCTAGCATGCTTGCAGCCGTGGGTTTGAAAGAATAAAAGGGGGAAAGAAAGATAGATGGATGGATGAAAAGAAGGAAGGAGGAAGGAAGGAGGGAGGGAGGGAGGGAGGGGGGGAGACTGGGAGACTGGGATTGAT